CCGCCGTCGTCCTCACACACTCGCCCCTGCACCTCCGCCCACCCACCCCCCCCCACACCCACACCCACCCACACCCACACCCACACACCCACACCCACACCCACACCCACACCCACACCCACACCCTTATTTTTACTGTATAAAATGAATATAAATAAACGATAACAAAATCTATTTTATTTAAATAACTAAAAGATATTTGGGAATAAAGGAGCATTTTATATGATAGTCAAATAGACAATTAAGTACCATAATAACAAAATGTGTTATTTTTATTTGTTATCAGCAACAACACTTTGCCACATGATGCTGTTAAATATGAGAATGATATAGAAAACGACATATGCAAAAACCCTGTTGTATTAGTTTTTGTAACCATGGTGCTAAAACGTTTGTGCGAGCTATTTCAAGAAAATGAAATATAAGGCGTTCATGAAAAAAAGTTTTTTCTTTATTGTTTTCTGGCTTTATTTTATTCAAATGTATGTTATAGAACTCACGTATATTTCAGAGGAAAATGGCAAGTGGAACTTTCAAATCGAGTTTATGCAACTCCATCCTCCGTTACAGATATCAATAGCTCTGAAGAACACGGCTTAGACTTCTGTCCCAGAGCTTATTGTCAATATAGCGAGGAGCTGAAAGATGTCAACAACAAGATTTAGATTGCTCTAGAACATGTCAAAACTTTTTTTGAACTTTAAGTGAAAGGGGAAGGTTTTACTGAACAGACATTAGAATTAAGTTAGTATGGTGAAAAATCAGTATTTTGAGCTTCTTTCTCATACAGTTTGACCTATGGAAAATCTGATTATATCATTAGATGGAGCTCGTCGAAATGTACTTGGAACACCACGGGAATATCTGAAACATGTTTCTGAACGAATATCGGATGGTTGTACTCGAATATCGTGCTAACTTCACTTATGTTCAAAAATTTGAGCCAGAAATATTAGTTTGGATTGCTGTATCTGAAAATGGTGTTTCAAAGCCGTCCTTTGCCAAGCAAAAGCAAGCTATTAACCAAGAAACATATTTTAGGGATTGTATTGTTGCACGTTTGATACTATTTATCCAGAGCGATCATATCAAAGAAAACGTATGGTTTTGGTCTGATTTGGCTATAAGTCATTACAGTCACAAAGTGATGGAATATCTGGATGAAAATGGAGTACAAATGGTACATAAAGAATCGAATCCTCAAAACTGTCCACAATCACGTCTGATTGAAACTTAGTGGTCAATATTGAATGATATGGTGTATGAATTAGGCGGGGAGGCAAAACAATGGATCAACTGAAGAGACGAATTATTAAAAAATTAAAAGAAATTGATATGAAAGTTGTACAATTCATGTTTTCAGGTATACGGAAGCAACTTTGCAAAATTGCAGATAAAGGACCTTACAAAGCTTGCTCTTTTTTATATTAGAAACAGCATCATCCGTACTACTTATTGATATTAAAAATAAAAAATAAAGCTGATTTGTTGAAATGAAAAACTAAAAAGAATTTTGCGCAAAGACTTTTTACACACAGGTTACAATTGTGTAAATTTTCACCGATTGTGAGATTTTGTTTTATTGTGATAAGGGTTAAGTTTTTCATTGAGTTAAATCTTTTCGGGACATCCACACCCTCAACAGACAGAATGATTTCTGCTTCATTGTGATATAGTTCGAGGTAAGATTATTTTCAAAATTTTATAAATATAAACAGAAAAAAGTGTCTCTGAACAAAAGCTATTATGACTTGATGAATTTAATAGAGATCGACTCCTCAAATATCACTCTTCAGAATGATGACTACAACAGATTTTAATCTTATACTCACCAAAATCTATCAAGAAACTGGCAGCATATTTTTACTGTTGCAGTGAACATGAGTATTCCATAAAACAAAACATGAAGTGCTTTAGGATTTTTAATTAACAAATAGTCATGCTATCGATTCTAAAGATAGAATAAAAGATAATCAATATGCATCGATATACAAACAAAGACGACATAATTTATCATTTATTGTCTTCGGCCGCATTTAATAAGCTCAGTCTATTTTCATACCATGCCGATTCGTCTTTAAAATGAAACCTTTTACAAAGATCTAAAATTGCCGTATACATTTGTATTGTATTAAAATGTTTTTTTCTCTTCTCCCATTACTGCATACATTTTTCCAAAACATACTGGACATAAATACAATGGTTGTCTGTCCATTTCTTCTTCGCTTTCTGCTCCGTTTATCACACATAGATAATAGATGCGATGTTCAACGCCAAATAAATGTATAACTTCATGAATAAAGACACCTATAGCTCGCTTGAGTATCAGTAGTCGTTCTTCATCTGTACAAAGTCCCGCTGTTGCTGTGCCGGGGTGTGGGTGTGTTGGTTTTTTAAGGTAAATGCACACCTGCACACACACTCAACCCGCATTAAGCACATCAAAAAATAATGCAGTG